CAAGCCCTCGAAACAGAGCAACAACAAGTACGCGCTCAGCAGCTACCTGACGCTGACACCTGACAAGTGGAAATCTCACAGCAGCTTCAGCTGCCAGGTCACGCACGAAGGGAGCACCGTGGAGAAGACAGTGGCCCCCTCAGAGTGTTCTTAGGTCCCTGAGTCCCCGACCCATGGGGGCCTTCCTCACCCAGACACCCCTTTCCCAGCTCTCCACTGTACCCCTGAGACTCTCAGTTTCTACTTGTCCTCAATAAAGACCTAACCATTCGTCATCTGACATTTCTGATGTTTGTTCTGTGTCTGGCTGTGTCTCTGGGTTCAAGGGTCGGTAACTAAGGGAAGGGACAGTTATAACGTGGCCTTCCATCAACCTGTCGTCCCCCCAACCAAACCCCCAGGACCAGGTGAGCTCTGTGGGGTAGTGGGAGCCATGACCCAGGGCAGGAAATTGTCCTGTGGGGCCAGCCCCTGGGATGCAGTCCTTGTCCCCCTGGAAAGGGAGATGGGCCCAGTAACAAGGCCGGGGGACGGCCCTGAGGAGGATCAGGGAGAAATGAGGAGGGACCCAGGAGGGCAGCAGTGGGCTAGAGGCAGCAATATGGGGGAAGCAGACCCCTGAGCCGAGGCCCTGGTCTTTAGGAACAGAGGTCAAACTTCCCTGTCCCATCAGGGGACCCAGTGGGGAGGAATTACCAGGTGAGGGGTCCATGGTTGCCCTGTCACCAAGTAGCCACAGAAAGGTATGAACAACGCATCACGTAAGTACGTCTCAAACTTTCACAATGCACATTAGCTAAGTAAAGACAATGACAAGTCCTGCAACAGAAAAACAGTTTAATATCACATAGCCTGACAATTCCCCAAATTTGTGGACTCTCCTACCAACTCAGGGAGCCCCAGAACACTCTTCAAGACCGTGATTCATGGTCACTGGTGCTGGGAAATGGGATGAGGCTGAGAAACAAGGAAGCTGAGTTCATGTTCTGAGGGGCCTGGTTAGGATCAGGCCAAAGTGTTGCAAGCAGGGGGCTGGGACCTCAATCAAAAGTCGTAATGTGGGGCTGGCCCTGTGGCTTAATGGTTAAGTGTGCGCACTCCGCTGCTGGCGGCCAGGGTTCAGATCCCGGGCGTGCATCTACGCACCGCTTCTCTGGCCATGCTGAGGCTGCATCACACATACAGCAACTAGAAGGATGTGCAGCTATGACGTACAACTATCTACTGGTGCTTTGGGGGAAAAAAATAAATAAATAAAATTATAAAAAAAGAAGTCATAATGTCTGAAGTCGTTTCAGGGAGAGTTAGTTTTGGGTGGAAAATGGATGGAGTAGGTGATGTCAGCCTGCTTTAGTAGGGTGAAGGAACCCGGGACAATGAGAGGGGCACAGTCCTGGGCACAGAAAGGGCATCCAGTGATGTCCAGGGAGAGTGTGTCCACTAGACTTCAGGAGTAGAGTTATGCCAGGGCAGACTAGCTCAGGGCAGGGTGAATGTGGCCTGGGGGCTACAGCAAGGTGTGGCTTCCATGGGGCTCAGCTCCCCCAGACCACCCTGCCATAGGCCCACGCCCCCCCTCACTGTGGCTCCGCCCCGAGTGCACCTGCAGCCTGGTGCCAGAGACACACTCCCTCTCAAGTCCCTGATGGCAGACGAGGTTGGCCTTGCAGAGGAGCAGCCCGGCCAGCTCTGTCAGGCGTCACGTCCCTGGGCTTTCGGGGCCTTCTTTCCGTGCCTCCCGCTCCTCAGGGATGTGGAGCCATCTTCACCACAGCTGCTTGGGGTTAGGATGGCCCAGGGGCAGGACCTGCAAGGACACAGAGCTCTGGAGACACAATGGGGCAGAGGACAGGGGTCCCCTTGGAGCTTCATCCCGGCCACCTCTGTCCGAAAGCACATCCTCTGGTCTAGAGGGAAGCCTAAGGATCCTACGTCCCATTGCCCCTGTGAACCCCAGCCATGGATCAGAATGTTGAGGCCCCTGTGGGGAGGGGACCACCCCGGTCTCCCTCATCTCACTCGCCCTGCTGGGTAGAATGCTAGTCCACCCACCCCTTGCTGCTTTGCCAAGTCTAGTCTTCCATTTACCTTCTTGTAAGTTTTTATGGTGGAGAACTTTGGACACAAAAATAAGGAGGCAGGTGAATAAAAATGACCCCCATGTTCTCCTCAGCCAGCCCCTCAAAGCAATCAGTTCACTGGCGATGCTGTCACACCCACAACAGAATGACTCCTCCCTGATGCGAGACTTGGAAGCAAATTCCAGATGTCAGATCTGCACATCTGTAAATATTCCATCAGTGTTCTCAAAGATAAAGACCTAAAAGAACTACAATAGCCTTATCAAACCTCAACAGAAATTATGAATAAATAACTAACATCAAACAATAGTCTCTCATCAAATGTCTCCTAATTGTCGTAAGTGAATTTTCTTGGCTGTATTTTTGTGCTGTTGTTATTTTGCAGTTGTTTGTTTTCTTTATCTGAGGATTGAATGAGGTTTGACGTTGTTATCAGTGGATGTGTCTTTAGGCCTGTGAGGTCTCGCAGGATGTCCCGAATGGCTCTAGATTTTCTGTGCACGGGAGTGGCTGCAGTGGCTGAGCTGCTGGTCCTGGGATCTCCCACGGTCGGGATCGGCTTACGCCTCCCGGAGCTGTAACTGAGCATGTCTCTCTGCTTCATGTTTCTGCAAGGTGGTTCCAACATAGAAAAGGATTAACAGGGTTCAGAGGTGACATTTTGGAAGACCACTTCCTAGGACAGGTGGCTACCACAATCCAAGGCGCCCTTGTGGGGTCTCCACTCACTTAGTGAAGTTATTTTCCTTTGATGCTCAAATCCCAGGTCCATTGATGGGATGGAATGCCAGGTGCAATGTTGCAGGTCTGTCCTCCTTCCTCTTGTGAAGGTTACAATTAGTCCACAAAGAGAGGCCCTTCAGATGCTCTTTACTCTCCCAAAAGTATGTTTCATATTTTATTAAATATATATAAATGTTTGGTCTTTCCTTGAATGGAGCAGTTAACAAAATGATGACCTGGTCCCTGCCATCTTCTGAAGGTGAACAAGTAATATTTAATATTGTGGTGAACTCTAGGATGTAAAATATGTGCTATGTTTGAACCCACTATGGTTATATTTTCTCGATGATGACAGTGCCGCACCTTCGCCCACTGGGAGCCTCCTCAGGTGGCCCCGGGATCCTCAAGAATCAGCCCAGTACACTCAATGATGTCTTGCTTTCTGTTGTCACCATATGTTCCTGGTCTATCTTGTGCCTTTCCCGTCTCGGGCCTGGAGTGGGCCATTTACCCCTGGTAGCCAGGTTCCTTTGAGAGGGAGGTGGTATTTAGGGACCACAATTGAGGTGCTAGCTCACATCTCCCTTTGGAATAAGACACTCCCAGACACAGCCAAAAATCAGAAGAGACCCTGCAGGGTGACAGGGCTACTACAAAGTGCTCCCTGAAGATGGAGGAGGACATTTCCTACGAGAATCAGCCTAGGCCTCCTGGAGATGCGCATCCCCATCTAGGACAACCCCAGGGAAGTGGGATGAGATGGTGGAGGCCCAGTTGGGGTCAGATTGAAGACTCCAATGGCTAGTCCATTCCAGGGCAACCTGCCTTCCCATGGGAGATTGGGGGCACCTGAGGATGCCTCCTGCCCTTACTCTGTGGCCTCACCAAGGGATCAGCATTCTCCAACTCGACCAGGAAGAGAAGCCCTGTTCTCTCCCAGGGAACTTCCTCCTCAGGGAAATGAATGCTCTTCTATAAACTCATGCCCATCCCTGTGTAACGGTTGGTGGGAACATCGTACCCCACATGCAGACTTCCTTCAGGAGCCTGCGTTTCCAAGGATCCCACTGCTTAGCACATGCGGTCACCTGTCATGTTCTGTGCTGGAGGTGGGCAAGGCAGGCATGTGGGCCCCCCTGCTGAGCAGACACCAGCCTGGGGCAGTGGCTCCACTTCCTCCACACAGCAGCAGGTGGGGTGCTAGGGGTGGGGCAGGCACATGCAAGGGAGGGGTTTTTGTACGAGCCTGTGTCACTGTGCTGGGTGTTCGGTGAAGGGACCCAGCTGACCATCTCAAGTAAGTCTTTTCTTCCCCCCATTTCCCTGCTTTCCCCAAGGTTTGGGAAATTTTCTGCGGTTTTTGCTCTTTTTCTGTGTCTATATCAGCCCCCACTCATGCTTATCCCAGAGCCAGGCCCCAGGGACCCTGGCCTCTTCCCCTCCCTATGGGGACTCCCCTGCTTGTCTCAGCTGCTCCATTTCTTCTCTGACCAGAGACAGGAGACTGGACCAGGCACCTGACTGGGCCAGGAGCACGTTGGGGCCCTAAGACTTGTTCTTTTCTGTCTCCTGTGGACCTGCTTTGTCGGGGGTCATTAGGGGCCCTCATTTCAAGGGTTGCACTGAGGGGGTGACCACACAGAGACTTTAGTGGGACCCCGAACACTCAGGACTGAGGCTGAGAAACAAAGGTCGGAGGTACAGGGAAGTTCTACCAGGCTGTGAGACTCAGGATCCAGGATCGGGAATGAGGCGGGGTGAAGGGGCTGCACCAGGCCCCAGTGGGGCTGCCACAGACAGAGGCCTGAGTCAGCCTGGGGCTCTGGGAATCCAGCAGAGGGTGAAACAGGAGAGAGGAGAGGCTCTGAATACCAGTAAGCCAGGTCGTCAAAGGACAGGTAGGAGGCATATGGTGGGGTCCTGGGTCTCTGCAGGACACACTCCCCCACGTTTGAATACCTCAGTGAAAAAAGGTAGATTCCACAGGATGAGACCTCCAATGATATGACCAGTTAGCCAGGGGGAACATCAAAACGGAAATGTAGTTAAGAAGGGCCAGACACAGGCAGACAAACAGGCTATGAAGAGCCAATACCCTACCCCATAAGAGAGACTCCAGGAGAGACAGATTTCGGTAAAATCAGGCCCCTTTGGACAAATACCCAGAGATCTCAAGAGCAGAAGTGTCAGGAGAGAAATGTCACCAAATTGACGACACAGAACATAAGAGAGCTCACATCATCCTCTGTAGGACAGAGAGACAGACAGTCCCAAAAAGACACTCTCAGAATGTCAGGAGGAGGCAAGGGAAAGAGGGTGTGCATCAGGAATCTGCATGGGCAGCCAGGGTATACGGAGATCTCAGGAGAGGGGATGACAGGTATCCAGGAGCAGGGTTTCTCAGGACAGGTGGGCATTTATTCGAGGAAACTGCAACCAAGACTCCATGGCATGGACCATTAGACACAGAGTGTTCTCAACGAGGGGACATCATTGGGTCATCAAAGACTTGCATCCACGTCAAGAATGGAGTCAGGAGCTCCCA